TTTAGTAAAATTTATTGGGTTTTTTATTTTATCTTGGAATTTGCTCAGTTTCTGCACCATCCAATCCAGAACATGCTAGCCACAACACTACTGGTGACTCCAATACATACAGTATCTCCTCTTGTGGATACCTAATCTGATTTTACTCACCTAAAACTGGGAGGATTAAAGACAAAACCAAATATATTGAAGATATGCCTTCTATTTCAGAGTTTTATATATGCAATAGTACTTGATCAAACTCATTTACCTTTGTATAGCTATAGTCTTGATATAGAATAGTATCAGTTACACCTAAGAGTTGGCATCTCTTTGCAAAATTGACCTCTTGTTTACAATTTTATACTAATCACCTTACTGATCTTTCAGTATTGAATTTATTTGCTTTTGCAGTGCCCTACTCTCTACTGTCTGAATATTAAATGTGTTTGTTTTCCCAGAGGGCTAGAGAACATTGGACAAAAGGGTTCAGCAGGAGAGAGTGAAATAAAAAGAGGTTGTGAGTCTTTAACCTTGAGCCTGAAATGAATGTGAACCAAACTCAAGATACTTGGCTTATATGAAGCCAGGTAAACATTCGAGTATAAGCCCACACACTACCAACCATGATACATCTCTTGATGTTTATCAGGCCTCCTGTATTTTGCCTAGACTGTTGTACTTAGGAGTGACATTCTGAACTTCATCTTTTTCTTCTGATGGGAAAAAATTTGTAGTATCTAAAATTCTATTTCTTTTTATTTTTCTTGCCTGATGCAGTATAATAAATCTAACTTTCAAGGTGGGATGAAACTGAAGAGTTTTTTCTATTACAGCTACAGAGAAGAAAGAAGTGGAAACTTAGAGCAATGTCAAAAATGTCCTGAAGTGTTGTCCCCACAGTCTTTTGTTTATAAGCAGTTCATTTTTTTCTGTTGTCTCCATTACTGTGAGAAAAGGGAGCTGTATCACACTGTTTGTCTTCCCTTGGCATTGTCAGTCTCATAAAGAAATATCATTACATGAACTCTACATAGTTCATAATAAACCAACACTTTCCAGGTTCTATCCATCATGGGTATGTCCCTGCTTTTACATGCTGTACAACCATAACAACATCATATGAAGTTCATCAGCTTTATTTTATCTTAAAAAAAAAAAAAAAAAGGAAGTAATGTGGGCTTTATTTCAGCAGAGCCCTTAAACATTTTTACACCAGGTATTATTTCAAATCTTGAAATTAAGCATGTATTAAAAGAATTTGTTGCTGTTGGGCCATATAACTCTGGGTAAATGATATTTTTTAGTTCTTATCTTAAATATGCCAGTATTATTATATATAAATTAAAATGCCACCATTTATGTCCAACAAACCTTACACCTTTGTCTCCACTAACATAATGAATGAAGGAGTTATGTTCCTGTAAGCAATAATTTGATGCATTGGGGGACAGACTAGGAACAAGGTTTTGAATTATATTGTAATGCAGAAATTCTGTCCCTGAATGAGGTTTGACACTAAAATAATAAAATTTTCTAGATGCCAAGCTAAATATGCAAAATTTAAAGTTGGGGAGGGAGTTTCTCCTTAAAGTGACAAATTAATGGAAAACATATATATCTCTGAAACTGTAGAGAAATTTTAAGAAAATAAGGTAGCTTTCTACAGTTCCTTAGTGAAGAAAACTTATTAGAAAGCTAACTTTATGTATTCTCAGCTGTAGATTTTTTTGCCCAAGTTTGGCCTCCACATTACCATTGTGTTCGTATTCTCAGCTGTAGATTTTTTTGCCCAAGCTTGGCCTCCACATTACCATTGTGTCCAGAAGATTAACTACTTTCGGTATCAGCAGATCTGAACTAGCTCTCAGCAATATTTCCAGTAAAAATCACTACAAACAGGTAGAAGCCATTCCAGTAACATGTAAATGTTCCTGCAAGACTTGAACAGTCCATGCCAAACCCTTGCCACAGATCTTCACACAAAGGGACAGGACTGCTGGCTGATTGTGCATTCTGCAGTTCTGTCACCAGATTGCTGTGTAAACACATCTAAGCAAAAGATGTCAGTGTACTGTTCTCTTTCACTGCATCATTGGTTCAAACAATCACTGCAGAGGACCAAATTCAGGCCATGGCAGGCAGGTTTTCCTAACTGGCTTTCAAATACAACCTACATCTACAGTTTACCCTCAGCTATGCAAGATGTGAGCTAGACTGACAAAAAGCTTGGTATTAAATGCAAATTAGATGCCAAATTTTGATGTTAAATGCAATATCGATACTTCCGCTACTATGGAACTTGGAGCCTTATAAATTGCAAACAGTTCCTCCCCTGCTAACCCATAGAGGCTTAAGTACAGATTGTGCAACTTGAAGAAAAGCTTTACTTTCATTGGTTTCTGCTGGATCTGTTCAAGCATAATATCAAATTGCAAACCTTTTTATTTAAGTAAAAATTTACCTTTATTAAAAAGAATCCAGCTGGCAAATAAAATCTAAATCTATGCAATAAGAAGTGGCTGTATTCAAGAGAATTAAATTACTTTGTTGGTAAGCTAGAGCAAACAGCTGCAACTGGATGAGATGACTGATATTTTTATTTAGATAGAAATAATAGGTAGCTTTGCATAAAATGTCGCTACATCAGCCCATACTATAAAGTAAGCATGTTAGAAAAAGTTTCCTGGTTTAAAATTGGATAATATAGTAAGATTGCCTTGAAAACACATACTATTTTTTCATTGTTTAGACTAATTACTTTGCAGTTTAAAATACAAGATGGAACGGCATAGATAATGAGGGAATTAAAATGTCACCTCTTCTCCCTGAGTTCAAATCCTATCTTTAGTAATGCAAATGAATCTCTTGTCCCAGTCTGTCTGTTCACTATACAGAACCATCGCACAGCACAGCACAACTCAAAGAGATTCAGCTCTCCTAAAACCCTGGTTTATAATTCCAAGTGCTCTGTCAAGCAAGGGTTAGGTTGAGGTGTTAGGAACGCTATATGATTGGAGTGTGTAAAATTTATTCTTTCTATCTTCCTCTTGTCTTGCACCTCTGCCAGCCTCCAAAATCTTCTAGTATCCTAAAATCTGGACAAGGCCATTCTGAGCCACTCCAGTCCTTTTATTCAAAGCATAAGCAGTCGCATGAAGCACTTTTTTTCCTGTGCTCTGCTGGTACTAAATACACGTATACGGAGAAGGGAGAGTATTTGGACTGACCAAAGGCTGTGTATCTGAAGATGGCATGACTTCTGCTGTTGGGATTTTTTGAAAGATGATGAATATCCAAATTTAGAGAACATAAACAAGGACAAAGGTCAAAGAGATCAAAATGCAAGTCAGCGTCTTTCCCAAATGTGCTGAAATTCTGTACAATTTGGAAAACTCCATCCACAGGATCAGTTAGATCCCACAGCTATAACACTACTAAGATGCAGCCTGCCAATTAAAAGAGTAATTAAAGCTTTACAAATTAGTGGTGTATTAGGCCAAGCAGTAATGTGCAGCATATTATACATGTAAAAAGATACACATACCAACCACCAAACCATCTCAAATGTGTGTGGAGAAGCTTTCACGATGCCTGCTTGCACCTTTTCTGCCTCTGCCTGTGTTTTGGTCTCCCCTCTAAGAAATGCTAAAATTTCGCTCATGGACTACATGGAAGTAGAAGGATAGAACTCATATTTAGTCATAAAACATTTGCCAACAGATCACGTTTTGCCATTCTGTTTTTTCCTCTCTGCCCCCTCACCCCCTTCCAAAAAGTTATGTTTTTTTCAGCAGTAAACCAGCACAAACCTTCACTTCTTTTCCGAACTGGTAGGTCACTGGGATATAGACAGCATCCCTCCCTTTGCCCACCCGCAGAGGATTTAGTGTCCCCACTCTGCAATGCTCCTCACTCTGTTCCTCTCATTTCCTACTGGGAAAGCAATTTGAACTGTTCCCAACAGTCTAATGGGCTGAGTTTTGTAGTTCATTTTCACCTGTGTTCCTACTGTCAGGTGGTTAATGCCATTAGAGTGACCCTGGCAAAAGTCAGCTGACCTAATTTAAAGACTGCATATATGGCATAAATTGTGTCGCTTTCAGCATTTAACTTTACAGTTTTACAACTGAGACACAGAAAACGAAAGAGCTTGCTGTTTAACCACGTAATTCAATTCAACCCAACAATCAATACATTATTTTATTACATGTTTTTTATATATATATTAAAAAGTTAAATGGCTAGAACAGTGGGTCTATACTCGAGTGTTTACCTCACATATGCATGAAGGAAAAATAAAAGTTGGTTCAACAATACTATGTTCACATTATCCAGGCTTCCAAGTGTAGTTGTTGTGTGCAAGTTATCTCTGTTCATGTGGTAACTGTGATTTTTTTATTTTTTTTTTCCCCTGTGGCAGCATGATTATGCTTAGTACTTTGTCTGCTTGGCTTTTTGTGCTCTTGGCTGCATTCATTTAGATTTTGCTTTAAAACATTGATATTACTTATAGTTTTTACACTTGGCTCCTGTGTGTGTCTCATACGTACCCATCCAACCGTGTCTGTGTTCTGTGCTTTTCTGTTTGTGAAGTGTGATATGTTATGTGTAATGGTTTTTTAACAATACAAAAGAGACTTTTTTAATTAAAAAAGCCTTCCTACTTACTCACTGCAAAACTATCAACATGCATGGTTTTACATTTGCATTACAATTAACATGGCTTGTCTTTTACTAGGGATGTACCACACGAGTGGATGTTCGCTTTCTTTAACCAGTACTTCCCATCAGTTCTTTGATGGCTTTAAACTTGATTTATTTTAATATTGCAGTTGATACAGATATTCAAAATGCACATAACTGAGCCACTCGTTTATGCATATAACATCCAGAGACTATGGACTTCAGCTGCCTGCACTGCCCTAACCATATGCTACATTTTTCACAAAGTATTCTCTAACACAGTGTTGCCCTTGGAAGGTGCTACCTCTGACACCTCTTTCCTTTTCTCCCCCCAGATCCGCGTCGTGAAGGCATTCCGTAGCTCTCTCTATGAAGGTTTAGAAAAACCAGAATCTAGAACCTCTATTCACAACTTTATGACTCATCCTGAATTTAGGATAGAAGATTCCCAGCCCCACATCCCACTCATTGATGACACAGACCTAGAAGAAGACCCCGCTCTCAAGAAAAACTCAAGTCCACCGTCTTCGCTGAACAAGAACAACAGTGCTATCGACAGTGGAATAAATCTTACAACTGATACAAGTAAATCAGCTACCTCTTCTAGTCCAGGAAGCCCAATACATAGCCTGGAGACATCACTTTAGCTGAAAAGGTCACTGCAAAAAAAAAAAATAATATTAAAATAAAATAAAATAAAAAACCCACAGCAACCGAAATATATAAATATATATATTAAAAACATTGCTGGCTGAAAAGCTGTTTGAACTCTTATTCACTCTGAGACAAGTGAATGAATTGTTGATCACAATGGTTTTGGGGAAAGAATGAATGGCTGATTTACATACTCCCCCTCCCCCCTTCCTTGTTCCCTTTCAGAAAAACAAAAACAAACAAAAAAAAAATCCTCCTGCATGAATGTACTGTACACTTCTGGCCCTTCTTTCTCTCTTTTTGTTTCTTTTTATTTCCTTTTTTTTCTTTTTTTCCTCCTTAAGCAGGAACTGCAGAGGACTTCTTTCTGAGGCTATTTATCCAATTCACTGGTCTGTGAGTTTTTTGAAATGCTTGTGTGGCATGGACTCAATTGTATAGATTAATTTAAATAACTTTTTTGAAGTTGCAAAGCTTAACTTGCACAGTAGATTTGCACCAGTTGGACAGAGGAACTTAAACATTTATGAGACTATATATAGAGATATATACATATAAGTATATACATAATTAATTATATATATGTATATATCTATCTCTATATATATAGTTATATATATATAAAGTTTCTTTGTTGGCATGTTGCCTTGTTTCTGCTCAAATTGCTCTGACTATTTTAACTTATTTATGTCCTAAAAAAGAATGTAATTTGTTTACAAACCTGTAGATAATATCCTTAACTATTTGTAGGGTTAAGAAAGCACTTCCTGCCGAAGTAGTATAAAAATGGCTCAGCTCAGCTCATTGAAAACGTCTGTAATATCGCACCCTGGATATTTTATTACAACCATGTTCTGATTTCTGCCTGATTTATTTTTTTTTTGTTAAATAATGTAGATACTGCTAGTAAATAACAAAAGAAGCCAAAATATAACACATTGGATGTAGCATTGTGATCCTATATACAGGGAGGTAAAACAGGCTTCCTTTGTTTCAAATAAAAATCAAAATGATCAGGTTCTCTCTTTTTTTTTTTTCCCTCTGATAAATCTGCTTGAATTTCTTTTGGTGCAACACACAGTAATGGAGGCTATTTTATTCTTTAAACATATGGCAATGGCTTCCAAAATTATTTTTAGAGAGATATTATATGAAACTGAGTTGAGTTTATAAATATAATTTAAAATAAGTTATATTTGGTTTGTCTATATGGAGATAAAACTAATGTTAAAATATTGTGATATATTGTGTTAATCCTTTTCAGTTAGTAATTTAGGCATTTATTTCCTTATTACTTGCAAAGTATGGGCTGTTGGCATTTTGGATGAAAATCACTGTAGGTTGTTGCTTTGATTTTTTTTAAAAGAAAAATATAATTTCTGCACTACTAGGTCTGAATGAAACTTTATTAACTGTATATTGAGATGTGCTTTGTGTGATTTTTTTTTTTTTTTAACCAAGCTTGTCTTCCTAAAATTATTACCTTGTTTCTCAGAGGTGGGAGGGAATAATGGGATAACTGTGCCTCTGGTTTTGAAGCCTTTCCCTCTCTTCAGGAATCCTAAAAATCTTGCATATGGAGATATATTATGGGGAGTATCAAGGGAAAATGACAAAAAGGTCTAACACTTGAAAAGGCCCAATATGAGGTACTGTCAGGAAGGTTCATTTTCAGAGAAATGGTGCTCAGCATCTTGCAACAATCAGGATATTGCAGGTGTCATTTTGGGTGCCCAAAATGCAGAGGTTCTGATATCAGTACTTGATAAAAAATAAAAGCATCACAGGGTGCTTTATCAGTAAGAATATCTAAGTCTAATTTAAGAGAGCATTTGTGCTGTTCTTTACTATATTGTATAGCTTTTTAATATATAATTCTTTGTGACACCTCACCAATCTGTGAAATTTCTTCTGCAGATTTATAATAACATTTTGGAATTTTTAAAAAATGTACTTCTTCTCGTATTTGGGGGCAGATAAATGTTTGATTCAAAGCTTAGTGCATGCTTAAAAAGAAATCTGCCTGTCAAATGCAGCTATATCTACAGTAGCTTGAAAGAGATTAGCAAGTCATTACCTGAAATTTTCAGTTATTCATAAATATGGCACATTCAAATCTTTCACAGGGTTCTGGAATACCTTAATTTATACAAAAGAATATTTATGACAGTAGTAAAGTTTTCCTAGTTACGTTGATATTTTTTAGCTGTCAGGGGCATTTTGCCAATAACAAATGACACATTTCTGGATTAATTAATTGATAACAATGCAGTCCATATTATGAATCTCTTATCTCTTTTGAAAAATGTTGCAGCTTTAAATATTAAGCAGTGAACATTTCTGCAAATTGACACCTGGCATTTCATATACTCTGATAAAAGTAAAAAAAAAATATTTAAATGCAAAGTAAATATGCACACATATTTAATATGCACACATTGAAGCTACAGAAAATGAAAACATGAGAAAAATAAGGCTCTGTATGCAACATTTTTTTGTATCTTGTGCATGAACGCTCAGACACACATACACACCCACAATCTTCTGTCATGGGGAAGCTGTTGCACTCCAGAGGTAAAAGTGGTTGTAGATGCCAGGCATCCCTTGCCAGCACTGGTGGATATAGATTTTACACGCATTTCTTTCTACATTTTATTTTTGGAAAACAAAATCAGATCCAGTGGGGCAACGGAACACCTTTTTTACTTTTGAGCCTCAGAATTAGTAACACAAAATCTAGCTTGTGCTTAAAATTAAGTTTATGCTTAGAGCTTTTGCTACTACATTGGTTAATTAGGTAGAGGATGAGTAGATCTAACTGTACACAAAGTAAACAAGTTATTCTTTATCCTAATCTGTTTATATCTGGTTCTCAGATGTTGTTTATATTATCAGTGGGTAACTCTTTAAAAAGTATGTTTCCAAATTTTCCAAGAAAGATACACATTTAATATTTCTTTGTACTTGCTCTTCCTCCTGTTCTCATATATAGTTAATACTGTTCCTAAGTAGAAGCAGCCAGCAACTGCAGGTCCCTTACCCCAAAAAAATCCTTCCTTTTGTAAAAGGTTATAATATTGTAAAGTGTAGGAAACATAGGGGGAAACAAACAAAAACAAACCCCCACCAAAGGGCAACCTCCCAGATCACGAATCTGCTGTAGTTCCTGTATTTGCAAATTCCTTTTCCTTTGTTCTGTTGAGGTCTGACATTTTTTTCTGAGATTTTTAGAAGTATTTAATCTTACAAGTTTTTATTATATTGACCCTAGCAACAGTGGCCTCAAGAAGCCACTTGTAAGGTTGGCATAGGAAAAAATACACCGTGATGACTCCAATTTTTATAGCAGCCAATTAAAATATTACCAAACATTCACAAAATATTCTCGGAAGTATTCTTCCATCATACAGATCTCTGAAGGTTCTTTAGGGTTTTTTTTGTTTGGCTGTCTGGTTGGTTTTTAAAAAATGTTTTCAAGAAAAAGAAGAGCATAGCACCCTTAAGGCTGTATTTTTGATCTGATTCTCGTTTTGGAGGGGGCTACAGTCTTCAGAAGTTGGGCTAATTTGCATGGAAAGGCAATGTTTCTCATTCTCCCTTTAGTTAAAAGATAGCTGACGTTTATCAGACTTGCCAAGAAACTGCCATTTATAGGTAGAAGCTTTCTTTACACATGCAACACTTGTCTTGGAGTGGCACAAGGGCATAAACACCTGCAAAATGTGTCAAACTAACAAGACATTTCAGCAACCTTAATTCTCATGCATGTTACAGTCTATTTACTAATAGATAATTTTAAAGAAAGAGCTCAGTTTAGCTACTTGTTATCTGTTGTGTATGAAAATCAGATTTTTTTGGATGAAGAAAAATTATTTACTGCTCCAGCAGCTTTTGCTTTTCTGTATTCTTACATATTTAATTTCCTATAAATGTAATCATCATTCAGCTGGACTGACTTTACAACTAAAACTTGAGATAAAATCTTATGTTTGGATCAAATTCTCTTATGAAGAAAAAGGGGAACAAAATTCTTAAAAAAAAAAAAAGAAATATTCTATTTTAGTAAATGTTAAGGCAAAGCTTATTGTTCCATGTTATCTATATTCAGATCACAGACCAAGTCAAGAGGGCATACTAGCCTTAGTGAAAAAGTCAGTTGCTTTCTGTGCCAACGTGGTACAACTATCACAGGAGGAACCGGAACAAGCAGAACAGGACTTTAAACCAAGTCCACATCTAAAATTAGGATTATAGAAGTTGCACCATTTGGGAACATCATTAAACTATCACCTCATAGAGTCAGAGATACCATATTAAAGCTTAGAAGTTCCTTGTGGTTATAACCAAGATTTCACAATCCTGTTGGGATATGTAAGGTCTAAATCAACTTCTGCGTATCTTCCCTGTAGGAAAACTAACTAGGTTTAAAGTCTAAATATAAAACCAAGTCCTCAATGGAGATATGGCATGGCAAGAAGGTTTAGACTCCTAGCACCAGAATAAATTCTTTAAAAGGGTTGTATAATATATTTAAACTTTGCCAAATCTGATACAAAAATATCAGACTCCATAATTTTGCAACAATCCTATAATAAAGGAGCTAAGCTATGGAAAGTGGAAGACCTGCAAATGGTTCTGATCTCATGCTTTAAAATTCAGTGGAATAATAGCCATGTGAAATGAGAATCAAGCCTGAGGATTTCACAGGATATGTAGGTATTCTATTTTCCTCTTGCTACACATGGTTTGACTTTTCAGCGGCACTTACTGGATTTACTGCATATTTATGTAGAAAGAGAAAGCACAGATAATGTTTATGCATCTGTTTCGCTCATTAAAGCAGAAACCTAGATATTATAGTTTTAGTAAAATTTATTGGGTTTTTTATTTTATCTTGGAATTTGCTCAGTTTCTGCACCATCCAATCCAGAACATGCTAGCCACAACACTACTGGTGACTCCAATACATACAGTATCTCCTCTTGTGGATACCTAATCTGATTTTACTCACCTAAAACTGGGAGGATTAAAGACAAAACCAAATATATTGAAGATATGCCTTCTATTTCAGAGTTTTATATATGCAATAGTACTTGATCAAACTCATTTACCTTTGTATAGCTATAGTCTTGATATAGAATAGTATCAGTTACACCTAAGAGTTGGCATCTCTTTGCAAAATTGACCTCTTGTTTACAATTTTATACTAATCACCTTACTGATCTTTCAGTATTGAATTTATTTGCTTTTGCAGTGCCCTACTCTCTACTGTCTGAATATTAAATGTGTTTGTTTTCCCAGAGGGCTAGAGAACATTGGACAAAAGGGTTCAGCAGGAGAGAGTGAAATAAAAAGAGGTTGTGAGTCTTTAACCTTGAGCCTGAAATGAATGTGAACCAAACTCAAGATACTTGGCTTATATGAAGCCAGGTAAACATTCGAGTATAAGCCCACACACTACCAACCATGATACATCTCTTGATGTTTATCAGGCCTCCTGTATTTTGCCTAGACTGTTGTACTTAGGAGTGACATTCTGAACTTCATCTTTTTCTTCTGATGGGAAAAAATTTGTAGTATCTAAAATTCTATTTCTTTTTATTTTTCTTGCCTGATGCAGTATAATAAATCTAACTTTCAAGGTGGGATGAAACTGAAGAGTTTTTTCTATTACAGCTACAGAGAAGAAAGAAGTGGAAACTTAGAGCAATGTCAAAAATGTCCTGAAGTGTTGTCCCCACAGTCTTTTGTTTATAAGCAGTTCATTTTTTTCTGTTGTCTCCATTACTGTGAGAAAAGGGAGCTGTATCACACTGTTTGTCCTCCCTTGGCATTGTCAGTATCATAAAGAAATACCATTACATGAACTCTACATAGTTCATAATAAACCAACACTTTCCAGGTTCTATCCATCATGGGTATGTCCCTGCTTTTACATGCTGTACAACCATAACAACATCATATGAAGTTCATCAGCTTTATTTTATCTTTAAAAAAAAAAAAAAAAGGAAGTAATGT